ATACAGCCTGTCCGTGGCTCCGTGCGGACATCTGCGAGGCTGTGGCTGAAGCTAGTGCCCAGCGTCAACCTCTGTTCATCAATGCGGCGGGACGGGTGACATGTTGAGCGGACCCATCAAATCCACTGCAAAATCCCAGTGGGCCTTAATTCGAGAATTCAGCTGATCGGTCTGTAACTCAATGGTCCAAGCGTCTCGAAAAAATTTGGTCCAAAAAGTGCTCCTGCATGTACAAATGAGCACCAGGAGCTACGAACGGCGCAGAGGGACTCACCCGTCGGTGGACCGGGCCTTGAATGTGAACGTGAATCTGTCATTCCGTTCGCTCACACTCATAAATTCCTCAAGTGCTCCAAAAAAAACTTATTTAGACTATGTCTTTATTTATTTTATCATGAAAAAAACATGTAAAAGCATGAGAAGTTTGGGAAGGACGTTTGCCTGCTTTCATGGCTCGGATGCGTCGTGCCATTCAGTTGCTCCAGCGGAGCGCTCCGTACAAGGGTGTTTGGTGGCCTTGCCTCCGCTACATGGACGATGATGTCCTTCGGATACGTTCATGACGCGCCCTTTGAAAACGAACTCGACGTGAAACTTAGGCGCGTGTTTGGTGTTGAGTGCACGTTCGGCGCAGACATGACACATCACGCCTCACCCCCCCTGGCCCCAAAATATCGTCCTGAAATGTGGCTAGGGATGCAGCCTCGGACGCCGTTAGGTTCTCGGGCTAGAGACAGGTGTCGCCAACTCAAACGGTGCCCGCCGAGGAATATCGGCCTTCCGTTCGCCGGATGCAAGCAGCGGCCGTCAGTCAGAGCAACTACAATGGGGCGGCCCATTTCGTCCGTGACCATTCATTTGAGTCGGTGCGAACAAAAAAGCCGGTCCAACGCGCCGATTCAAGTCCGCTTTCGTCCGCCTGCCGACCCATTTCTGACCCATTTTTAAACTTGATTTACGTCGGCGTGGACATAAAATAGACACGTGCGCGCTCGTCCTCTTTCCTCATCGGGCCCGCTGGTCGGTGGCATATTGGATTCACACACTCGCCCGCCTGCTACGTCGCCGACGCCGCCGGTCATTTTTTTAGATTAAAATGGATACATAGATAGTTCTAGCGCGCACATATAAAAGAAAAAGACCACTACTCGTCGCTTTCTGACTCTGACTCGATAATGTTCTCCTCCGACGTTTGAAGGTAGACGTCAGCAAGCTGCTCGTCTTCAAAGTCCCAATCCGAAGTTTCTTGTAGCTTCAGTTTCAATTGAGCTACCTGCTTCCGCGAACGCTTGTCCTCCCGATAGGCGGCTCGCTCCCTCCTCCTCGCGTCCCTCCTCGATCTCAATTGCTTGTAGAACTAGCGCTCGTCGACGATGTCCTGCAGGTAGCCTCCGCGCCACACCACCAAGGCTTTCACGTCCTTCTCTGCGATGGCGAGGCGACGCTACCGCCTCCAGTGGACACGACGATCCTCGTCGGTGAAAAGCCGCGGGAGAGGCGCCAGATCCTGCGCCCGCTGGCTCGACACGTTGGAAAAATTCATATCCCGACGAGGCCTCAGGAGGCGCCACGCCGCCGCGTCGTGCGCGCGGGCCGCCTCCTCTGCGGTGTCGAAGGTGCCGAGGACGAGACGTTTCTCGCGAAACCAGATCTCGACGGAGAAGGCACCGGAGCGGCGCTCGCGGACTCCACGAGAATCCGAAGCGCCCAGGCGGCGGATCGACATGGTGGCGCAGAGGCGGAGAGAGTGGGCGGCCGACAGAGTGTGGAGGGAGCGCCTTCTTTATAACAAGCGCCGGCCGCGGCGCGCGCACGAATCTTTCCGCGCGCTAGAGCGCCAAAATCAGCATGCGCTAAGCCGCTTTCCCCGCGCGCGAATCTTTCCCGCGCGCTGGAGCGCTAGAATCAGGACGACGGCACGATATTAAACACGTGCGGTCATGAAAATGGGTCGGCCCGTTAGACGCACTGCCGACCCAAAACTAAAAGCGGACGGACGACGGGCGGGCGACCGATTCAAACGAATAAAAAACGAATAAAAACGCCATCCGTTTGGGTCGGCCCGTTGAAGTTGCTCTCAGACTCCTCGTGAGTTCTGGATGCCGTTCGCATCCGTGACCAGCCGCGATCGTCCTTTGACGAACGGAACGCATTAGTCCATGGTGAACCTCTGCTAAACCTGCGATGAATAGGTCAGAGTTCCCTAAGCAAACTCTGAACCAAGTTTAATGACCAGACCCGATGAGGTGACCTACCACCTTCCTGTTTGTACTCGTGCCTCGCGTCCGTCCTCTGAGCGTAGGCGGCACGGCTTTTCATGCAAGCCGCTCGATCGATCGTACGCTGTTTGGTTCTAGGCCTAGCATTGCCACACTTTGCCACATATTTTTGCCAAGCTTGTTTAAGGTTAGTTCATCAAAATGAAAGCCACAAGTTGGCAAGCCTAAGGAAATCTTGCCACATTTTTTGTGTGTATGCCATGTGGGGTTTAAGTGTGGCTTGCCTAAGGTGTGGCTTGAACCAAACACTCACCTAAGTTAGTCAAACTTGCCTAGCTTTAGGCGTGGCAACATTTGGCAAAGTTAGTCACAAACCAAACAGCCCCTACCTCTCTCTCAGTCTATAAAGCGTGCGCGTGCCTCTAGATCGTTAATTTGACCAATTTAATACAAATCATATATTATAAAAATATATTAATATAAACTTCAGATGCTCTATTTTCAAACCGTATAATTTTTGTATTATATAATTTATATTAAGGTGATAAAATTAGCAACCTAGGTATACGCATAAGATTTATAAATTGAAATGGAGGTAGTACTACGAGAGCAGACCAACCAGTCGATTATCACGAAAGTACCACAGCAAGCAATTACACCGGTGCGTGATGCGCGACTTGACGTTAGCGTCTCCCCGTTCGTGCATGCACGAGAGCCCGCCCAAACCGCAAACGAAAGAAAGATCTCCCACATCACATTCGGAGTCCTGCTTCACACGCCGCGAGCCCGCAACGTGACAACTGGGAGTGGGAGGGGAGCTCAGCTCAGCGCCACCGCACAATTTCCCAACCTTCAGTTCCCGCGAGATTTCGCCGTCTCCGAGGGCCCCCGCCCCGCCGTCCCCGTCCACCCAAAATCAAATCGAAGCCAAATCAAATTCCCGGTCGCGGCGAGAGGCACTGCTCATCAGTGACCGGCCGTCGCCTAACTGCAGGGCCTCTCTCGTCCACACGAAGCTCCAGCGTGCGCGCCCGTGCACGTCGCAGCAATTTATACGCCGCTCGTTCCTCGCCGTCGCCTCTCCACTCCCATCTCCCATCATTTCTCGACCAGTAGCTGATCGACGCACGCACGTGAAGCCTGAGCTGAGCTGAGCTGAGCCGTAGAGCGAGCGACCAAAGCCAGGAAGTGAAGGCATGAGGATCCAGTGCGACGCGTGCGAGGGCGCGGCGGCGACGGTGGTGTGCTGTGCAGACGAGGCGGCGCTGTGCGCGCGCTGCGACGTGCAGATCCACGCCGCCAACAAGCTGGCCAGCAAGCACCAGCGCCTGCCGCTCGAGGCCGCCCCCGGCCTCCCGCGCTGCGACGTGTGCCAGGACAAGCCGGCCTTCGTCTTCTGCGTGGACGACAGGGCGCTCTTCTGCCGTGACTGCGACGACTCCATCCACGTCCAGGGCACGCTCTCCGCCAACCACCAGCGCTACATCGCCACCGGCATCCGCGTCGGCTTCAGCTCCGTCTGCAGCGCCCACGCCGACACCCACCCGCCGCCCTCCAAGCCCAAGGCGCCGCCGACCGCCGCCGTCCCCAGGGCGGCACCGGTCTCCGCCGCAGCGCAGGAGGTGCCGTCCTCGCCGTTCCTGCCGTCGTCTGGCTGGGCCGTCGAGGACCTCCTGCAGTTCTCCGACTACGAGTCCAGCGACAAGGCAAGGAGCTAGGCAACAAACCACGTACCACTGTCTCCCTGCTATCTCCATGGATACATCTCAACGTGTCTCCATCGGTTTGCTGTTGCAGAAGGGTTCTCCGTCTCCTCTCGGGTTCAAGGAGCTGGAGTGGTTCGCCGACATCGACCTGTTCCACGACGACCAGGCGCCGGCACCAAAGTGGGGCAGAACCGCCGCGGAGGTGCCCGAACTCTTCGCCTCGCCGCAGCCGGCCAGCAACACCGGCTTCTACAAGGCAGCCGGCGCGCGCCAGAGCAAGAAGGCGAGGGTGGAGATGCCCGACGACGACGACGAGGACTACCTCCTCGTTCCCGATCTTGGATGAGATATCTGAACTGAATATATAGGTCGTACTATGTGTGATGCACTATGTAGTAAACTAATACGCGTGTGTGCATGTATGCAAACGGATTCTGCCATCTTTTTGTGCCGATCGCTTAGTTGCCGTGGAAAATATGAAATTGCAAGGCGATTCGGGGAAATACTTTCAGAAACGAGATGGGTTTATAAGTGTAATATACTGTGGAAAACATGTACTGCTTTTAAGGTTTATACTGTGGAAAATTCAACCACCTGTAAACAAGAGGCGATCATAATGCATAGGGAAGATCACCGTGCACAGCATGCTTGAACTACAGCCAATATAGTACTGTAATCACCGTGCACAGCAGCCTGGGATAATGGCTCTTCTACAACAATGAATGAACAAAAAGGAAATCAACAAGTACTACATAGGATGGCTACTGCTTAACACCAACTGACGAACCACATGTCGCCAAGCAAACAAAATCATGTAAGCACGCACCATAACTTGATTGCGATATTTCAGGTTACTAATTATGCAACATCACAGGAGCTCGCTAGATTGCAGTAAGAAAATGAAGCCGCGAAAATGGTGGATGCTCTTCAGTAAGATTTATGAATCAGCTCAGTGTTTGAGAGTCTGTGACCACTTACCAGTATTTCTCAGTTCTTTTTGGAAGATCCAAGCAAATTGCACATAAATGTTTGGCTAGAAAAGCTCAAGCAAATCGTATACAAATTAATTTGACTGTCACCTTTTCTTCAGCAATGAACTAGCTCTTAGGAATATTTTATCGATCTCATCAAGCTCGGAGATTTTCAGTTCTTTTGCGGGTGAATCTGCCTTGTCAGAGAGTGAAGCAATCTTCCGCAGATGCTCCTCAAAATCATCTGATTCATTATCGACTTTTTCTGGGAGAAACTTATCCAGCCTATCTAGATACAAAGGGCGCTCCTTGCTATCTTCTGCTTGCTCCTCTGAATCTGTCTCAAACATGTCAGAGAGATCCTCGGATTCTGAATATGTGATAGACTCCGAAGTTGAATCATCATCAACCTCAGAATTTTCATCCCCCAACTTCTCAGACCTTTCTACATTTTCTGACAGGAGTTCGGATACAGTTCTGTTGTAAACTGAGCTAGAAGAATCTTTATTCACGGACACACTGTTTGTAGAGTCTGAAATAAAAGCAATGTCTTTCGCCGCACTTTGTCCTATAAGGCCTCCAGCTAACTTCGTCAGGGCGTGCTGATATTCAAGCTCCTGCTCAAGCCTGGGAATGTACCGCCTAAGAGCTCGGAGGCGATCTCTATACTTTGATTTGTCCAGTGCCTGATTAGAAATGCTAGATTTAGAGAAAGCAGGGTACTAACACTAAAAGGTATAACAGGACAGTGTATTAGTTATCCTTTACTCATTCTCATCCTGCATGTCTGTTTATATTGGATCTATTTGATCCTGACTTCCTGACTAGAATACAGAATACCCTTCCTACCAACTGAAAATAATTGGCTGACTATGCCTTTTGTTGTTATGTTCTAAACCTAGGTGATGAATGATAAATTGGTATCTTATTAAGGCTTTTGCATAAATCAGGAGGATCTTACTGAGCTTGTCTTTCTTTGAAATCTTGAAGCCGGTCTTTTGCTAGTTTTTGTGCGTGTTTTTATAACCTCGCTTCACAATTCATACATTGTACATACATTGATATCTTGACCATGATAGCAGAGATAGAACATACCTTCTTTCTAGGAAGTGCAACCTTTGGTGACATTATCTCGGGTGGTGGCTGTGCATAGTTTTTTCCTCTGTACATAATAATTGTATTTCCTTCTTCAATGCTGAGCACAATACCACCACTTAGAACTGCTAACTCTGAGGCAATTTCCTTGACCTCCTCTGGTGTGAATGTCTTCACAATTACCTGTAGGGTTTGGTGCTTTTTCCAGTGCAAATGCATGTTCAAGATCACTCCCTGGTAAATTCCACGTCTTCCAACAGGCACATAATTTTTACTTTTTTGGCCCATCTTGAGGAAGTAGAAGTGTTCTTCAGGTGTAAGAACCTCAGGATCATGTGTGGGTTCTGAAGGATCATTTGGCTCAATTTTCTTCAAAGCTGCAAGAAGTCGTTCTTCCTTCCTTCGAGCCTTTAAGTGAAAAATATATAAGAAAAAGCCAACCGTATAACAATATATTTACAAGAAAATTTTCACAACAGAGTTCATAAAAAGGAAACACGTAGATTCATCGTAATGTGAGAGCAACATCACAAACATAGATTTAAAAATCTAATAAGATAGCCCACCTCAAGGGTGGAAATTCAGCTTGCAGTAATATACCTTACATGACAATACTGACCAGCGGTATTAGAAAACCATGCTACGTCAAGTGAAAGTCAAGCAAACTTCATTCTTTTATGCTTTTTTTTCTGACACGGATCATTCTTTTATGGCTGAAAAAATCTTCATAAAGATACAAGTCTATAACAACTTACTAGCTTCAATTTTTTCAAAATCTTCTCCTCAGCGGTCATTCTCTGAAATTCCCTTTCCTTTTTCCATCTCAAGGATTTCAAAAACCTTGTTACGGCCCTCTTTCCTTTAAGTTTTTTCCTCTTCGCTTTTGGTTTGCCAGAATCATCAACGGATACCATGGCCCCAGTATTTTGTGGACCCGTTGCCGTATCTTGATTTTGACTATTAACAGGTCGACTGGTATGGACAGAACGGCATGTTTGAAGGTTATAACTTCGTGGCCAACTGAAGAACCTGTCGTCTTGGTAAAAAACCTTGTGAAAAGTATAACTACAACAGCATCAGAACTCTGAAATAACAGAATTGTTACATTATTGTACACTCTCTGTTTTTATTTACTCCGCATATTAGATTTATCTAAAGTCAAACTTTATAAAGTTTCATTCGCAAAAAAAGAAACTTTATAAAGTTTCAACAAGTTTGTAGAATACTATATTAACATACACACCACCGAATCAATACCATTGGATTCATAATTGAATATATTTTCACATCATATAGATTTGTTACTGTAAATGTTGTAAAGTTTGACTTCGGTCAAACCTAATATGGGGAGTAAATAAAAATAGAGGGAGTATTTGCCTAGCGAGAACCACACTCAAGAGCTCGACGTGTTCGTCAGCTTGCGTGCACACACAAGTACACTAAACCACAAAAGCAAAAGCATAACATAGATGAAACAGTTCATGCCTTTGGCATTTCATCGAACACCTCAAAGTCACTATTGTTTCGGAGCAAACCTACTGCATCAATAGCACAAGCCTGAAGCCCTGGTGACCAAAACCTCCCGAAAATCGCTCACTAAACCTCATTTACAACTCGGAATAAGAATCAACGGGCAAGAAAGGAATCGACAGATTTGTGTCTTACGGCGGAGGTGGTGCGCTGAGCCTCATTGTTCCGTGGGAAGGCGCCGTCGCATCTACGCTGCCAGACGAGGGGCAAGGGGGCGGAGGTGGTGTACGCTGGAGGCGCCACCTCCTTGTGGCCTGCCGGAGCAAGAGGAGTCGACCGGCCATGCGCGCCCGTAGCACCGTACGGCGAGAGTTCGAGAGAGCCCGTGCGCGCGTGCTTGGGTGGATGGTTCGGGGCCTCTGGGGTAGCGCACGGGCCGGCTCATATGGAGAGCCGGCGTGGCGCGCGCGGTAGCTGAGGTGCTGTGCCGGTACGCATGCGGGCGTGGTGAATGGCGACTCGGCGAGTGGACACTGAGCGTGCGCGAATCCTGCGGGGAGGAAGAACGGGGACGACGCCTCGCTAGCGTGGGCCGCAGAAAGGCGAAACAAAGCGGAGAAACGAAATGCACTGGCCCACTGGACTGGGATGTTGTTGGGGTCCACCCTATATGACGCTTACTGCGACTGCCGACTATATCTCGCTCAACACGAGTCCAAAGATAGTCTCGCATGAAGCTTTTTGTTCCCCACGTATTATTATTTTTTGTTTTTCGTTTTGTTTATTTATTTGTTTCTTAGTTTTGTTCATATTCTTCGGGTTTTTTGGTTTTCTTCGTTTCCGCATGGGTTTTCACGATTTTTTCAGGGCTTTTCATTTTTCTTCGTTCATGAGTTGTTACTTTTGTATATATTTTCATATATTTCAGATTTTTGAAGCGCTTGATTAGAATTTACAAAACTATGTTTAATGACTACGTTTGTCATACACATTGTACAGTTTTTGTATATATCAGTACCATTTTAATACACGATTAAAATGTTGTAAATATATGATTAATACTTTTTATACAATATGAACATTTTACAAAACTTATGTTTTCGCGTTAAAATGTTAAAATATCTGTTCTAGATCTTCACAAACATTGGGAACAATTTTTTTACCAGTTAAATTTTTTTGAATGAGATGATTAATATATTTCCAAATAATTACCTTTGGTGACTAACTTTTTTAATACAGTTTGTACATTACCGACATTTTTTACTTTTCCTTTTCATAGATCGGTTTCCTTTGTTTCTTCCTACTTTTGTTTGGGTCTTTCTTTTTTGCACCGAAAAGAGAGCTTTATTCGGCGAAGTAGCATACGATTACAATCTGCACGAAGGCAGTTGTGCAGAAAATCTGGGCTCTGAACTAGCCAGCTCTCCGTCCCATCTAGTGAACACGCACGTTGCACACACTCATGAGCCGGCATATTTAACTCCCTACTTTTGTTTGGGTCTTTGTTTCTTCCTAGTTTTCATAGGTCGGCTCGTGATTAACCTTTTTTTATACAAAATCAACATTTTTGAAATATATGATTACGTTTTTATACACAATCAATAATTTCTAAAGTTTATGTTTTTATGTTTAATTTTTTAATACACGTTCTACATTTTGGGTATACATCAAGAATATTTTATACACATTTTTCAGTTAAACATTCTACATTTTTTGTATACACCAGGAACATTTTTATACACGTTTCATATTTTTAAAATAGATTATTAACGTTTTATTCAAATACTTGTCTTTGAAAAGTACCTTTTCACATCCACATTGTATATCTTTCATATGTATCAAAAACATTTTTTGAATACTTAATTAACATTTTTCAAATGATTATTAAAAAATACATTATCAACTCTTTTTCATACATATAGTATATTTTTATGTACATTTCCCATATACATGGTTTTTTCTCTTTATACACATTAAACATTCCTCATATAACAGTTATATATTTATTTAAGATATTTGAAAGTATAAACAAAATAAGAAGAAAGAAAGGAAAAACGTTAAAAAAGAGGTTGTGTCCTCCACCGAGCTGGGCCGGCCGTGTCTCGC